GGTACTTGTGGTCATGAAACCTCGAGCAGGAGCCTCTCGAAATTAGATGGGAACATATTCTGGACAGAAATGGAGTGTCCTTCTATAGGAGTGGCCAGACATCACACACAGGGCATCCACGGTGCAGGGTACAAAGCAGTCACATCGACTGCCCAGAATCCAAATAAGCCTTTAAATATAAAGGGGCCAGGGATTTAGGAAGCTGGTGCGATATTGCAGCTGACTACAGGATGTTGCTGCTGACCCCTGGGATTGGAAATCACAGCACAGAGTAACCTCAGGAGGCACTTGCACAGGGCCAGATGGAAGCCAGAGATTTCAGCAGAGATTTCTGCAGAACTAACTGTTCAGCAGCAAATTTCAAGTAAAGGGATTGATGCAGCTGAGCAAAACCAGGATTTTTTTTGGGGGTTGAAGGATTCATTGTGCTTGCTGTGGGAGGTGTTTAAAAGGAACAAGCCAAAAGACAAAGGTATGTATGGAACAAGCCCCCTGAAACAAGCCTAATCAGTAACAACCCCTTTTAAAAACACAACCTACCCCCTACGTAGAGGATAAAGGGGACAAGTATTGCAACCCCATGAACTGAGATCTCTGCTCCACAGAAACAAGTGCTTCAGAGTAACTTTTCCCCTCCTGGCTGTCACCGAGAGAGGCAGAGGCCAAGCTCACTCCTCCGCGAGAAACACCACTTGAGAGACCATGCTCTCCCTCACGGAACATGGTACAGGGGGAATGAGAAGTTCCATTTCTGATTCTTAGCATGATTTCTGGAACTAAGAAACCAGGTGGAGAGAAACACAGAAGAGACCTCAGCAGGACACAATACTGACTCTTTGGAAAGAAGATTTGAAGGCACCAGTGCTGCTTAGGCTTGTGCAGGACCAGAAGGAATTTCCCATCCTTTGCACTGAAATGGGGCAACAGGAAGAGTAACTGTTACCAATTCTTTTACAGCAGAACAGTTTACTGGAGCCTATCGGGGACTGCCGGGCTACGTGCCTCTTCCTCACGTGGAGGTACAGGATTGTGTAACTTCAGGCTGCGTTCATTCTGTTAATTCTAGACCCTAACTACACAAAGCTCCCATCCCAGTCTTTGTCTGCTATGAGCCCACCCCCTCCCAGAAATGCAAATTGCCCAGATTAGATCAATAGCAACATTCATTTTAAAAAAGATCACAAAAAAACTGATTGCTCTCTACAACACATGCTCTCCCAAACTCCGATACAGGACGAGATCCCACAAATAAAACATGATCCAGTCAGGTCTTTGGCTCTGGTTCCTGACACAGTTCTCAATACACTTTACAAGTGATTTCTCTTCCTGCTCCTTGCTCATCTTCTCCCCGGGAAGAAAGGAGCACCAAAGGTTAACTTCTCAGGCACAGAAATGGAGGTGCAGGAGCTGCCTACACACCAGTCTCATTTCTTTCACTGCTTTTGTCACTGGAGTCCTCTTGCACCTTTCTCATCTCCAGCCCTTTCACCCACGTGTAGGCGAAGGAGCCCCCCAGAACCATTAAGTTACTCGTCCACCACAAGAAGCTCTTTGTCTCCTCAAAGTAGATAACAGCCAGCACTGTTTGGGCACAGGCCTTGGCTGTCCCAGATACGTTGTGGGTGAGTGGGCTAGTGAACTTAATCTGAAGTCCAGTCACATATCCAATGGCAAAGCCAAACACTCCCCCCAGGGTCATCATGCCCCAAAAACTGGGGCTCCCCAGCTTGTCGAAGTGGTAGAGAGTACGGAACTCGCCCAGCAGCATCATGAGAGGGAAGAAGAGGACACAAGCATTAATATTGTTGTAGAAGGTCAGGCGCCAGATGCTACCATCCACCACGGGCAGCACCTTCTTGGTGTAGATGGCATTGAGTGAGACACACAGGCTTGCTAAGATCCCAAAGAATATACCCGTCCATGAGAGAGTGCCCTCTGCTCCTTCTTGGTCAACACCCAGCCAGAAGCCACCTGCAATCAAACAAATCAGGCATCATTTGAGCAACTGCTGAAGGACTCAAAACATACAGTCAGCAATTCATCATCTACTGTATACTGAACAACCACGAGCAGAGACAGGCCTTAAAGGCTTCCCCTTTCTATTAAGTGAACCCACAAAGTGTCATGACTAGTGTCCTGGGAAGATTTATTTTGAGAGTGTGAGTAATTTACTGTGCTATCATTCAATCTCAGAGAACCAATTCCCACACTGTGCAGACAGCATGAGTTAGAGACTGTTACTCCAAAGAACCATGAACTAAAGTTAAAGCTACTCTTTGTGTATAGGTCTTTTTTTTAGAAGGAGATCATGATTTTTTTTTTTTTTCAATTGAGAAGGCAGCAAACTGATGCACAGGTAGCAAGAAATATTCCTCAAGGTTTTTTAAAAAAAGTAAAAACATGGATGTAATATTAAGAAGCTTGATCAAAAAAAAATAACAAGGCAGAAAATGAGTGCAGTACCTTCACCACATTAAACTTCTTTGATGGGTAATGCACTCTTTAACCACCTCCCAAACAGGAGCTACAGGCTTTGTGTCTCCAGGGCAGAGAGGGAGACCTCTCCCCATCCAGCTCATAAGCAAAACATAAAAGGGGAAATGAGCTACTGAAGGAGCACTGCACTGCCTCTCCATTAGCTGCCTCATGTTGGAAGCTATCTGGCAAGTTGCCTGCAAAGCAGCTAACGTGCTTTAAACTAAGCCCAAATACAGATGGGTTCAACACACGGACAGGGAAGGGCGTTGCGTCAGGCTACAGAGGACACTCAGCTATGCTGCTACAGGCATATGGGCAACGCTCCCATAGCAAAAGGGGATAGCGTCAGGGGACAGTCATAGAGAAACCCTGTAAGGCCAGCAGAGGCCATAGTCCTTTGCAAAATCCAAACACATGACTAGCTGAAGGCAACTCCTTGCATCACTTAAGTAGAGAAAGTGGTAGTTCCGTTCCTGTCCACCTCTTCTATGGAGAGGAGATTATCTTATCTCATTCTCATTCAAGTTCATCTACTTGTCTAAGCATCAAAGCAAACACATGTCCACCAGGAACCAGACTGAAGTCAACATTTCACAAGCCTTTGCAGGTCAAGGGAGGTGATTCTGTCCCTCTACTCTGCTCTCGTGAGACCCCACCTAGAATACTGCATTCAGCTCTGGGGCCCCCAACATAAGAACGACATGGAGCTGTTGGACCAGGTGCAGACGAGGGCCACACAGTTGATCTGAGGCCTGGAGCACCTCTCCTATGAAGACAGGCTGAGAAAATCAGGGTCGTTCAACCTGGAGAAGAGAAGGCTCCAGGGAGATCTTACAGCAGCGTTCCAGTACCTAAAGGGGGCCTGCAAGAAAGCTGGAGAGAGTGTGTAGTGATAGGACAAAGGGCAATGGCTTTAAACTGAAAGAGGGGAGATTTCAATTAGATATAAGGAAGAAATTTTTTACAATGAGCATGGTGAAACACTGGGACAGGTTGCCCAGAGAAGTTGTGGATGCCCCATCCTTGGAGGTGTTCAAGATGGATGAGGCTTTGAGCAACTTGACCTAGTGGAAGGTGTCCCTGACCATGGCAGGGGGGTCAGAACTAGGTGATCTTTAAGGTCCCTTCCAACCCAAACCATTCTGTGATTCTAAATGGCCTTCCAGTGAAAAGTAGCTTTTGGCACTACCGGTGCCTTTGGAATGAGACTTGCAAGCAATTCTCATTAAGCCAGCCAATACCCTATCCTACGTCCTAACCACAGGACCAGATCTTCTGGTGGTGGTTTACGTTTGGTCAGCTAACCCTTCATCACATGCATTCAACCTGTCAGAGTTGGCTGGCTTCATTGCATGATCCCAACAGTGCTGACATAAATGCTGCTATTGTTACCAAAGTCAATAATCAACAAGCCCTTGAGAACAGAAAGCCACCTGCTGTTTGATGAGCTCTGGGAGAGGCAGCGGGGGGAGGTAAGGCAAGCTAAACTTCATTAGAGAGTAGAGAGCTTTTAGTGCTCAAAGGAAAAAGGAAGCCATAGCCAAGTAAGAGTAATTTTCCTTCTTAATGAGTTACCTCCAGACATGCAAAGCAGGATGCCCAAGGCAGAGCAAGGCAGGAGCCCTGAGCTACTCCACCTCACCAAGGAGCCACCAGGCACATGGGCATGGCTTCCCAAGGGGAAGACACCCCACGTCCAGCTCTCCAAGGTTATGGGTGCATCCCCCTCCCACTCCCCCTCACCTATGATGACTCCACAGGCCAGGAGAGCATAGAGGGAGGTGGTCTGCTTCAGGAGCAGGTAGGAGAGCAGCACGTTGAAGACAGTGGTGAGGGAGCGGCCCACGTTGTAGAAGGCCACGCCGACATGCTTGAGGCAGAGGTTGTTGGAGGTGACCATGCCGATGAAGACGGCGGAGAGGGGCAGGACGCTGCGGGACACCTTGGGGTCGAGGCGGAGGGTGGGCAGGCTGGGGCAGGGGGGCCCGCAGGCCACCCCCAGGCTGAGGCCCAGGCAGAGGGCAGCCGTCAGGGCACACTGGAAGAAGGTGACGAAGACGGGGGCGTCGAGGCGCAGCGAGGGGCTGTCCAGCAGGTACTTGTTGAGGAAGACCATGGCGATGGAGGTGAACCAGTAGAGGCAGACCACCACGGCGATGCGCAGGGCCCGCA